AACCACCCCCTGCAGCTGGCCCCGCCCCAGGCTGATTAGAAGTCACGAAGATGAGGCAGGAGGGGAAGTCCTCCACAGAACACCCGAGTGTGGGACTGCAGGATATGCTTGGGGACCCTAAACATCTCCTGAGAGACATGGGTTTGGGACTTGGTGGTGAAACCGTTAGCAGGTGAGGGCAAGTGGATAGAAGTTAGGTTATTGAGGGTTGCCTTTCAAGGGGACATTGGGACTTTGGCTTCTACTTTTTCTCTGCTTCCCAGCAGCAATGAGGTGAGCACCTTCTGTCATGCTCTCTGCCATGACATGTTTTCTCACCATAGGCTCAAAAGCAACAAACCTTTCTTCTATTTAATTGATCATCTCAGACATTTTGTTATAGTAATGGAATACTGACTCCCACACTGTACAAATGAAGAACTGAGACCAAAGAGGATTGCTCAGAGCTTTAGGGACAAGAGGGGATCATGGCCTTGATTCCTGGCCCTGGTTGAGTTGCTCCCAGTGGATTAGTGAATGCCTGCCTTGTCGTGAGCAGTTCTCACACGCTATCATCCAGAAAGGGGTACAGGGAATGTCTGGCAATGCCCTTCCCTGGGCACTCACAATCCCCCCTCTCCATAACCTACATTTTCTTGTCTTGGACACCTCGTGTGTTCCCACATCTTTACATTTTCATACATGCTAGAGGTGGGTGGGAAGGTGACTAACTCCATAGCCTTGTATAAGGTTTTATATTTTGTTTCATACCTATGGGTGATCTTTGCAGACTATACCCATAATAATAATAAGTGGACAGGCAGCAACCAATCTTGGGCTCTTTTCTTTCTTTCTTTCTCTTTCATTTTTTCTTTTCTTCTTCCTCTTCCTCTTTTCCGTTTTCCTCTGCATTTTCTTCCTCCTCCTCCTCTTCCCTCTATTCTTCCTCCTTCTTCTCTTCCTTTTTGTCCCACTAACCCCCTCTCCCCTAACCCTCTCCCTGGAACCTTAAGGCTGAGACCATGATTGTTTATTCTCTGCAGCTTCAGCTCCCACTCAGGCCCACCAAGAAGAGCTCAGCATAAAATGAATGAATGTGGCAACAGATGGCTGAGAAACCCATGATGTTACCAAGCTGGAATGTTCCTTACTTCCTAGTACACACCTGAGTCAGCAGAGCTATCCTTTCTTCCCAGAGCCTGTGGGCAGGAAGATACCTGCTCAGAGCTCCCAAGGATTTCAGCACTCTGAGCACACAGGGTGGAAGCCCAGATCAAGGATGACAGAGGACTCACCTCTTCCCTCATACCCTCCCTGCTGCCTCTGGTGGTCCTCTCTTCAATTTTCCTGAGTTTGCCAAGAAGGCATGGACAGCTCTTATCTCTGAGCTCCAGGTTTGCTTCCTGTAAACAGGAAGTTGAATTCTCTTTGCTAGATTGCTCTGAAGATAAAGTGAGGTTACCCACAGGCACACAGAGGCAGTACCTGGCACATGGTAGGGGCATAGGACATTGGTCCTTCCCGGCCTCTGAAGTGGGATATATCAGTGTCCACCCCACTGAGAAAGAAGACAGATGCTTAAACAACACAAGGAGGAAACTGAGCTAACCTGTTCAAAAATGTGGGTACAATAGAAAAACAGAAAAAGAAAATACCATTTCCAAACCACTAGGGGCAACACACACACATGGACGATTTGATCAATTATTATTATTGTTATTGGTTCTGAGAATCATACCCACAACCTCACGCTTCCCAGGCAGATACAGAGTCTGCTGAGCTATATCCCCAGCCCAATTTGATCAATTTTAAAAGGACACAAAAAGAAACATGATTAATGGATAAGGAAAAGTAAGATTGCTTAGTATGTCCAAACAGAGCAAAAACTACAATAAATGTAAACTTTTCCAACTTGCCTATGAAAAGGCAGAGACTCTCAGATGGCAGGTGATTTCTTTTTTAAGTTTTTTAATTTCCTGCAGGGCTGAAGATTAAACCCCAAGGCCTTGGTATCTAGTCCTTTTTATATTTTTGATTTTAAACCCCAGTCTCGCTAATTTGCCCATTTGCCTAGCTGGGCTTGAATTTGACATCCTTCTGTTTCAGCCTCACAAATTACTGGGATTATGAGCTGAATTTCCTTTAATAGGAGGGGAAGAGGTTCATAAAAGAAGTCATCAGAGTTAGAACAATAGCTGGAGAAATCTGGGCCTACATTCCCCCTTGGTATAAATGAGTAATTAATTCCCAGAGTTAATGTCCAGAGGTTTGGCTAAGGACACATGGCATGCTAGTGGCCAATTTCTCCATTGGAAGCTTGTTTGTGGCCATGTAAATACTGACTCCATGAATTTTGTTATGACTGTATACGCAAAATGTGTGATTGATTTATTTAGTTTTATTAAGAATTTTTGGCTTTAATGGGATTGAATCCAGAGCTTCACACTGAGCTACATCTTCAGCTTTCTTTCTTTTTTAATTTAGAGGCAGCATTCTGTTAAGTTCCCTGTCAGGGCTGGAGCTTGTGATCCTTCTGCCTCAGTTTCCCAAGTGATGGAATTAGAAGTGTGCACTACTGTGCCTGACTACCATGTACAATTTTTTTTATCATATCAGTTAAATTTAATTATATTAATAATGCTACTAAAATTTTTCTTCTAAAATGCCCTTAGTCTATATTGAAGTTTTAAGTCACTCTCCATAAATTGAAACTAAGCCATAAAATGAAATAAAAAGAAAAATACTTTCAGTTGAAAATTTGTCAGTCTAAACGATGGGTCTGATGTCTGCTCTTTCTCCATGAAAAGTGGAGACTTTAAAGAGCTAAAATGAAAGACCTGTGGGCCCCTGAGACCTTTCCTTCCTGTAATCAGAAGGAGGAAGACTGAGAAGGGCGACCCAGCCTCTTCCTGTGCCCTGTGTCCTTTAATGTGAGTGGTCCAAGCACCATGAAAGTTTCAGACCTGTATCTCAGGGTTCCAGGCCCCATGAGGCTTGTTCTGATAGAGCCTCATATCAAGTCTGTCTACTGCGAAGGCATGGGAGCCATGGAATTAGAGAGGTAACTTGTAAGTCACTGAGCACGGCATCCTCCAGTGAGACATTAATGACCCTCAAGTGGGACAGCTTTAATTAGCTCCTCCCCCAAATGCCATCCAGGCAGCCTGCGGCCCAGGAGTAACTCCTAACTGTTCTGCGTATGCCCAGCTAGGTAGGTGAACCCTGCAGAGATGCTGCCCAGGTGGAGGGTGCCCCTCCACTGGGCTTGCAGGCTGCTGCTGCCTCCTCCAGACTCCTGGTCTCCTGCTGCTGTGACGAATTGACTTGGGCTGGGCTTGCAAACTGAGTGTGTTGCTCACAGTTCTGGAGGCTGCCAAGGTCAAGGCATGGTAAGGTTCAGGGCCTGGAAAAGGTTTTTTCAAGGTGGCATCTTGTGATTGCGACTTCACACAACCAAAGGCAGAAGGGACAGACACTGTGCTCTCATATTGACAGAAAGAAAAGGCTAGGCAGCTCTCTAAAGATTTCTTTAATTTTAATTTTAATATTTGTGGTACTGGGGATTGAACTCAGGGTCTTTGGATCAACCTATAGCCCAGTCTTTTTTTAATCTTTCAATCTTTTCAAGTCTTTCCAATACTTATTTTTGTTTGCAGTTCTGGGAATTGAATCCAACTCACAAACTTCCTGTCTCAGCCTCCCAGAGTTCTGGATTGCAGGTGTGTACCACGATATCCAGCTCTCTGAAGAGTTTTACAGGAATGCTAATCTCACTTGAGACTGGGGGCTGTCGTTGCCTAACCCCTACCACAGGCTCTCCCTCTGCACACCATCACATGGGCTTTCCATCCAGCCTTTTGTATTTGAGCCACAGCAGAGAGGTTACTGGGGGGCTGCCCTGCCGGCCCATCTGGCCCACAGCAGTGCTTGGCTCCCAGGAGCCGACACTGGGGATGCTACCCACAAATCCACACTGGAAAAGGCCTGAGGCTCATCTCACCCAAGCTCTCACTTCACAGATGAGGGGAGACTGAGACCAGAAAGCCCCTGGAGCACAGTGTCTTAGCTGGGAGCCCCACACCTATCCGTGAAGTCATCCGAGTTGGGGATGTGGTAAGGGAAAGACTAAACCCACACTGACATGTCAAAATGAATAAATGTTTAATTAAACATCCCCAGAACAGAACATTACTCATCTAGTCAATTGCATCTCAGCTCAACTCTTATATAGCTACAATAAATTTTATTTAATGAGGCATGTGGGTGCCTTTTAATATATTTGATGTGACGCAGTATGGAAATGCCAAGCAAGGACCTAGCAGAGGTCCTAAAATAGCCATACCCTCTGAAAGGAAGGGGTTTGCCAAAGATCTTTCATTCATTCATACTTTCATTCATTCAGTCAGTCATTCGTATGAGGCAGCAGTGGCCACACGAGGGCCTCCTAATTCTGCCAAGAGGTAGCTCATTGTCACCTTGTCCCTTTGGCCTCATCTCTGTGGCCTGTCCTGGACTTGATGTCTCCATCCATCTCTTTGTGGGCAGGGTCCTCAGTGTGCACAGGGAAATTGAGCTCTATAGAGGGTGAGATGAGCCTAAAGGCCACACAGCGACTGGCCAGGTTTTGCACCCCCAGGGACTCTCCCAGGCCTGCATGAATATTCACAGGCCTGACCCTGCGCTCCCCCTTCCAGAAGTCTGCGAGGAAGCCCATTACGGATTCATGCAGCACCTACTGCATTTCTAATTAAGAGAACACAGTTATTCTAATTTTAACATCACTCTCGTACTACCTCCAACCACCTCCTTCCACTTCATTTATGTGAGGGATGTTTTTGCCTTGGAAGATCAGGAGACACCCCCGGCTTTCTTGCCTATTGCTTAGTATGAGTCATCTTCGGAGGGTCCTCTGTAATGTGGGTGACTCTAGCTTCCTGTCTGGGGGTACCTGACAGATGTTTCCCCCATTAAGAAAAAAACACCCACCCAGGAGTTTCCAGACTGGGCTGCAGGCTGGAGGGTTCAGCCTCTGGATGAATGAATTCCCACTGCCTCCCAGGCCTGGCAAGCCCTGCTACTGACGCATCTTCCTCTTCCTCTCCCTCTTCCTGCTTCAGTTGAGGGCTGTCGGATAAAACACAGAGCATCCAGCTACAGTGAAATTTCAGGTAAACAATGAATGATTTTTTTCTCCCTTCCCCCACCCTTTTTTTAAGTGCAAAAATGTCTTAGAAATTGAACGGAATACATTTGAAAATTTTTATCTAAATCCTGGCTTAACTGCATACCCTCTGCCTTGATTTACTTTGGCCCCCACTCCAGCCACACTGCCCCTTATTTGAACATAGTCACACCTACAGCTTGCTGTGGCAGTCCTGTCCCTGAATCCTACAGTTGTCCCTTGGTGCTAACTTCTTTGACATTGAGATCTCAACTCCAGTGGTGGCTATGGAGGAGGCTTCCTGAGCCCCAAACAGAAGTGGGGTCCCCGACCACCATCATCCTCTCCTGCACCTAGCTTTACGTTTCTCATGGCATTTAGCAATGCGTCTGAGACAGATGTCTTCTGTCTCCCCTGTTTGAATGTCAGCTTGGGGAGAGAGCTGAATCCTTCAGGCAGAGAGCGGGCACAGGGTAAGTACTTGACATGTTCGTCTGTGCACAAGAGGTTTCAGTCTGCCTACACTGTGGCTGGGGAAACTAAGGCTCAGAAAGAGGATGGGGACTGGCCCGAGGTCCTGACTGGCCTTTTCTGCACAGTCCCTTGTGATGCACGAGCAAGGAGCTTTCCTATGACGCATGAGGAGGGAGAACAAGGTGCAGAATCAAGTGTGGGCAAGTGAGAGGGCTGGTTGGGCTGCCGAAAGAGGAGAGAAAAGCTTGCAGGAAGGAGCTATGTTTCCTTATTGGTGGTTAACCTGTGATGACACAGGTACAACTAGGTCCTCAATGGCACATGGACATCACTTTTTGTAATTTTAAATTATTGTGCATTTATTTTGATACGCATCAGAGAAAAATATGTAGTGGATCACTAAGTTCGTGATTTCTGGGATATACTTGCTTAGGACAAGGCCAAGTTGGAAATAAATCAATTGTCAAGAAAACATTAAGAAGAACAGAGAGGGACTGGGTATTTAGCTCAGCAACATAAGTGCCTGCCTTGTAAGCACACAGTTGTGAGTTCGATCCCCGGTACCGATAAAGAGAAAAAAAAAAAAAAAAAAAAGAACAGAGAATATCCATGAATGTAATAGATACTATAGAGATAAAAATAATCATGGTGCTGAGATTAGTAGTGATAAAAGTAATAAAAACGTGAGCTCTTGTGTCAGTCAGCTTTCTGTTGCTGTGACAAAATATCTGAGATCATGAACTTCTAAAGAGGAAAGGTTCATTTTGGCTCATGGTTTCAGGCTTCAGTCCATGGTTGCTTGGTTCTGTGGCAAGCAGCACATCATGGTGTTTGTGTGTGGAAGGGGAAGGTGCTTACCTCATGGGGTCCCCATATCCAACTCCCTCCCACTAAGTCCCATCCCCTTGGAATTTTCCCAACCATGCCACAGGCTGATGACAAGACTATGAACATATAGCTCTTTTAGGAACATTTGTCCAAAGATAGCAGGTCTTCTTTATTCTGTGCCAGCCCTGTTCTGAGCACTTTCCATGAATTTATTCATATATTCCCAAACTCATCCATGAAAGGTGTCCTTACTGACTCCATTTCCCAGGTAAGGAAATAAACACAGAGAGGTCATGTGACCCACTCACAGTCGGTCATGTGACCTATGAGAAGTGGAACTGAGATTGGGACCTGGTGTTCAGGCCCCAACACTTGAAGACAGAAAATGGTGGCCAAGGCACCCTTCACCTTCCTCTCTTTAATGCTGTGAGCACAGCCCTCTCTATAGCAGGGAGCCTCAGCCACTCTTACATCCCATCCTCGAATAATTCTGTCCCCCTCCAGCTGTCAACCAGAGTGGGATATCTCTTGGTGGGCTGAACAGAGACAGCTACATCAGGGTGCTGCTGCCAAGCAGGCCCTGCAGGAATTAAATCCTAGTGAGGATTCTGACTCAGCAGCTCTCAAAAAATACCCCAAAGAAAGTAGAGGACCAACGACATAATCAGTTAGCTCACAGTCGACTGCACAAAGATGTTCCTTTCAGTGTTGTTTATTACTGAAACATTGGAAGGGAATAAAGCTAAACACCCATCACCAGAGCACTAGTTAAGCCACTTGTGCTACACCTGTACAATGTAGCTGGCTTGGCTCACACCCATCACACCCTTCTCCCCGTGCTCTCAGCCTGTCACCCACTAGAGCCAAACTCTCTAGCCCAGAGCTTGTGCACAGGCTGGCCCTGCCACTGGTGCTCCCTCCTCTCCTCTCTTTACCTGGTTAACTTTCATTCACTCTGCAAACCTAGCTGTGTCATAGCTTCCCTGAGAGCACCCTCCCTCCACATGTAGATTTTAGCTCCTCTATAAGGAGCCAACGTGGGCCAAGTCTCTCTGAAATGTGAATCTCCCAGGAACAGTTTCTAGGCCCATATACTAGAATGATTCTTGTTTTCTCTTTCTCCCTAGTTGGGCTCTAGGGCTGTTAAGGTAGGAATTGATGTTTTGTCCCCAGTGTAAGTCTAGAACCTAGCACAGGGCCTGGTAGGCATTGAATGTTCACTGGCTGACGTACAAAGAATGACTGCTGGATACAGATTCAAATGCACTGATATGGCAAGGTGCCCGGGATACATTTGTATGCATGGAGAGCGCAGGTTACAAAATCTCTACAGCTATATATATACACACACGTAAGAAAAAATCTTGGAAGAACAAATGACAAACTAGTGCAGCCATTATGGAAAGCAGCATGCAAGTTCCCCAAAAATACCCTAACTGGGTTCAGGTGTATCTGCCACCTACTGCTGTGATAATGCTGCTTAACAAACAGTCCTTAAAGTCAGGACCTCTAAATAATGATCTGTGTTATGGGTCTGCAGGTCAACTGATCTGGGATGGGCAGATATGTTTCCTTTTCAGACTTGGGTCCTTTCTAGGTCTCTTTCTTTTGGCCAAAGAACATATCAAGGCCAATGCAACTTCTGTGGGCTGGAGGAGCTGTAGAGCCTCCTAGAGAGGCTGTGAGGAGCTGGGAACAGGGAAGCAGCCTGCCACCTGCCCCCTGCAGGAAGGCACTCTGGGTTGTGGGCAGGACAGATGGCAGGAAGGCCTCTTTAGTGGCAAGAGAACTCCTATCACCCAGAGAGGTTAGACACTTTCTCTGTGGCCCCAGGGCATGGTGGGCCATATTCACATCCCCTGATCTCTAAGTTCCAGTTCACCAATCTAGAACTGTGCTGCTCAGACCCAATTCTGTGCTCTTTCTGAGTCAGTGTGTCAGACTTGCAGGTGGAAGGCTTCCAAGGTGCCCAAGGTGGCAGGACACACATGTGTGATGATGGAGCGGAGAGACAAACATGAGGCCAGGGACAGGGAGAGAGGGAAAGGCAGGGAGAGAGAAAAGGAAGCAAGGAGGAGTCAGTTAAATTTTTATCAAACTTGGGGATCCTAAACTCTCCACTCAGTACTGTATTTTTAGCGCTAAATGGTGCTAAAAGCGTTTGCTGGCACCCTTTAGAGCAGGAGAGCTGCTTCACTAGGGAGCAGAAGCTATGCTCTGCTGTGTCACTGGATTCTCACTGCGCCTCACTGAGTGAGTGCACTTGCTGGAAAGATCCACCACTTTCCCCAGCAAATGCATTTGTTCCCAAGTCACTTTAAAAGGATGCTTGCCCCTGGGGAGAGCACCACAGCCTATGACCTGCCAGGCTGGCTAGGCTGTAGCATCCGAGATGGGGAAGGGAGGACGCTGAGCCATTTCTGTTTCATCCACAAGGAGCCAAGTCACTCAGCTCCTGGGAGTCCAGGGGACCTTGAAGGTTTCTTGTGCACAGGACTGAGATGTCCTTATTCCTAAGCAGGATACAGGAGAGCTTGTCTCTACACCTCCTTGTGATTCTGAGGGGCCTCGCCTAGGGCGATGCTGACATCTAAGAAGTGTGCTGTGTACCAGGTGGCTGTGTGGAGCATCTGGCATTGGCTGAGGGTGTTGTGGGTGGTCTGGGAACAGTTACAATCAGGCCTGTTTTACCAGCCGGTGAGGGAGGTAGAGTTAGAGGATGGTGACACTGGATGGGAAGTAGTATAAAATCAGAGAACTGTGGGGCTGGAGGAACCCCACTGGAGCTCTCGCTGCACCCCCAGAGCCTTCCTCTTGGGGACAGGCCCCCTCATCTTCCTCTTCATCTGTGACAGTCTGGCTGGCCACTTCCTCCCCAGCCAGTGGTGACACAGTGGGATTCCCGAGGCAGGTTACCAGGACAGGTCTGGGAGACCTCAGAGCCTGGGGTGTGGGAGGGCTGAAGGGATCTGGGACGAGTACCAGCTGGCAGAAGGGACAGAGCCCAAGAGAGAGGACTGAGGTGGCACCAGGGCAGGGCCCTATTGCCACCTAGGATTGAGCTCTTGGAGGTGAAAGGGGAAACTCAGGAGCCAAAGACGAAGGAAGACTGTGCTACCCCAAGAGGTCCATCTGGCAATGATCACACTCCTCCTAAGAAATTATACAGAACCTTAATAAATAAAACAAGGAGAAAGGATCTTATGGACATCCAGGTTGTCAGTGTGAGCTCAAGTAGTAGGCAAGGCACAAGTCATCTGCTCTCCAGCTTCCAGACATCTTTACGGCCTGGCCGGAGGCGGAGGTGGTTCACATTTGATTCTGAGAGGCACATGGGCCCTGTGGAGTCAGTATCACAGTGGTCCATGTGGCCAGCTCTGTGCAGCCTCCAGGTCTCCCTGGGAGTGGCATGTCTTTCTGGCTCAGAGAAGGAGCTCTACACTCCCCGGAGCTGACAGGAGCTGGGCAGAGGAGGGCTCCCGACTGTCACCTCCTCAGGGTGTCTTTCCTGGAGGGCAGGCTGCTCCAGGGCCTGCTGGAAAGCTGCCTGGGGCCTGGACTGATCAAGGAGAGGACATCTCCTTCCGAGACTGGGTGGCAAAGGCTCAGATCTGCTAAGGTACTGCAGCGTCCCACCTATCCAGGAATGAGTGACTCTGGGTCTTTGTACTGAGGCGGAACATGGCAGCTTCACAGAACAAATTG